GGGGGGGGGCGGATTCCCAGGGCCCTCCTTAGGAGAAAGGCTACACCTACTAGGAGGCACAGGTTGAATACCACCCGTACACTTTGGTATATCTTCAAGTGGACATGAAACTATGTAAGTACCACAAATAGTCTTTAAATGGGCCTGAGTTGTGGAGGAAGTGAGGGGCGCAGCACAGTATCTCGCTTAAGAGCCTGAAGCCTACAGTCAGACCTTCTGCATGCCTGCATGCCTGCTGGCATGGCTTTGCTCCACCCCTTGCCAGCTGTGACTTTAACAGTGTTACTTCATCTCTCTCCGCCTTAGGTTCCTCATCTACAAAGTGGGGCAAGAGTAACCCCCACCTCTTAAGGTTGTTGAAAGAATTAGAGCTAATCCAGATTAAGTGCTTTGGCCACTGCCTGGACATTGTGTCTAATAGATTAATCAATATTATTTTTGATTCTTTGGTGTTAGTGAATTACAATATTCAGTAACATTGGCTACCACTTGGCGTTTTGTCTAAATTTTCCTGACTAGTCCACTAACCATGTCACAATTGGCTACATTGGCAAAGCATCATTACTTTGGGGCAGGCGTGGTGTGGTAGACTTAATGCATGCTTAGAGCAGTGAAAATAAATTACTAAGAACGGTGGCATAATGCTCCAGGGGCCTGGGCTTAGAAAAACCTTGTTGCTAAAATGGCCGTGAGTCATATTTCAGTGTCGGAAGACACCATCTGGTCCAACCCCTCTATTTGAGATTAAGCCACTTGGTAAAGATTTTTTCCTTCTCTGTGATGGAGTAAAGAGGTGGAAATGGCAGCAACCCGGATACGCCGGGGAGCTGCCTTTTCCGGAGGTGTCCGGGCAGCACTGACCCTAACTGAGCCCCCTTTACTCCACAGAACGTGGTGAAACTGATGCGAGGACTTCTCCAGTGCATGATGAGACAGGTAGGCGCAAAACAACCCACGCCCTCAGATCATTGGTGTGGGTGTTTCGTGTCCTTGGAATCACGACAGCTTCAGATCTTAAAGCCTTTTGAACTTCTTCTCAGATGATGAGACATTGAAAAAAACTTTGCTTAGTTTCTCTTTCTAAGGGGACCTTCAGTAGTTTCATTATATGACCAGGACCACAAGGAGCCCAGGTGGAGCCGTGGTTCAGCAGCTCCCTGAAAGGTCAGCAGTTCAAACCACGCGCTGCCTAACAGGAGAAAGATGAGGCTTTCTGCCCCTGTGAAGATTGTTGACAGCCATGGAAACCCACAGGGGCAGTTGTAGTCAGTCCTAGACGGTCACGACGAGTCAAGTCAACAGCAGTGGGGGTGGTATTTTGAATAGATAGAGGACTACAGCCGGAAAGGCCGTTGTCTCTAAGAATTTCTTTGCAAGAGATTAATAAGGAAAACAACTTTTTTAAAGCCACTCCTAGAAGAGCAAGGGCTTCTAGTATATTCTAGTGTATAAAAGAGTGTAAAATATATTAATCATTTTATTGGGGGTTCATACAACTCTTACCACAATCCATACACACATTCATTGTGTCAAGCACATTTGTACATTTGTTGCCATTGTCATTCTCAATGCATTTTTTTTCTACTTAAGCCCTTGGTATCAGCTCCTCATTTTCCCCCTCCTTCCCTCCCCTCCCCTTCCTAATTTCGAAATTATTAAATTATTTTCATGTCTTACACTGTCCGATGTCTCCCTTCACCCACTTGTCTGTTCTCCGTCCCCCAGGGAGGGGGTTATACATAGATCATGGTGATCAGTTCTCCTTTTCTCCTCCACCTTCCCCTTCCCCTCCTGGTACGGCTACTCTCATTATTGGTCCTGAGGGGTTTATCTATCCTGGATTCCCTGTTTCCAGCTCTGATCTGTACCCGTTTACATCCTCTAGTCTAGCCAGATTTGTAAAGTAGAATTGAGATCATGATAGTGAGGTGGAGGAAACATTAAAAAACTAGAGGAAAGCTGTATGTTTCATCGTTGCTACACTGCACCCTGCTGGCTCGTCTTCTCCCTGCTACCCTTCCGTAAGGGGATGTCCAGTTGCCTAAGATGGGCTTTGGGTCTCCACTCCGGACTCCTCTTCATTCACAATGATATGATTTTTTGTTCTTTGAAGCCATATACCTGATCCTATTCACACCTCGTGATCACACAGGCTGGTGTGCTTCTCAGCTAGATGGTCGCTTGTTTATCTTCAAGTCTTTAAGGTCCCAGCTGCTATTTCTTTTGAGAGCCGGTACCATCAGCTTTCTTCACCACATTTGCTTATGCACCCACTTTGTCTTCCACCCATTTTGTCTTCAGTGATCATGTCGGGAAGGTGAGCATCATGGAATGCCAGTTTAGTAGAACAGGGTGTTCTTGTATTGAGGCAGTACTTGAGTAGAGGCCCAATGTCCATCTGCTACCTTAATACTAAACCTATAAATATATGCACAAAGATCTATTTCCCCATCATCATATATATATTTACATATGTACATGCCTGTATTGAGACCTCTATAAATGCCCTTTGCCTCCTAGTTCTTTCCCCTATTTCCTTTTACTTTCCTCTTGTCCCACTATCATGCTCAGCCTTCATTTGGGTTTCAGTAATTCCTCTCAGTTACATTGCCCTTGATCAAGCCCTACGCCTCCTCCTACACCCTCCTCACCATCAATTTTGGATCCCTTGTTGTTCCCTTGCCCCTGGGTTAGTTAACATCCACTTCCTCTCCCCACCTCCGCCTCTCCCATGCCCCCCCCCAACTATCAGTCCCATTGTTTTTTCCTCCAGATTGTTTATCCCACCTATCTTATCTAGATAGACCTGCAGAGATAACAATATGCACCAAAAATATGACAGAGCATAATAAAGCAACAAAAGAAAATAACAACAACAAAAAAAGAAAAGCCTGTAAATAGTTCAAGGTCTGTTTGTTAACCTTTAAGAGTGTTTTCTGGTCGAGTCTGATGGGGTGCCACACCCTGGCCCCAAAGTCTATTTTTGGTATTCCCTGTGGACTTCGTTGCTCTGTTCCCCTTGTTGTTCCGTTGCACACCCTTAGTGTTTCACCTCAGTGTGGTGGGGTCAGATTGAGCATAATTCCCGCATGGTGTCTCCAGTGTTATCCCCCGTAGCGCTATGGGTCAGTGAGGGACGTCGTGTCTCACAGTGAGGCTGGCCCTATGATCCTCTCTGTGCTTTGGCTGCTCTGAGCAGGAATATCATGCTCAGGGCTTGGTGGGCCAGATTGTGCTCCACTCCCGTCATTTGCTCCCGTGTGCTCTGGTCAAACATGTCCCTCTCCCTGAGCTGTAGCTTCAGTGCTGTCCTCTGAAGTGAATTCTCCTGTGGGGTGGGGGTGCTGTCCACGTAGTTGGGATTGGGCCGGCCCCTCTGACCTCTCTATTGGTTCCCTGCTTCATGCCGGTATGTTGCTTTCATGTCTTGGAGCACCAGGTTGAAATCTGATCCCTCCTCCCTGTGGAGATATAAACGATAAACCCTCCCTTTTCATTTGAAACTTTGACACTATGATTCTCTGGTCTTTTTAATGAGAGGCAGATACAATTCATGAAACACATATTACAGATAGGAGCCCTGGTGGTGTAGTGGAGTTGGCATTGGGCTACTAACCAAAAGATCAGCAGTTCAAAGCCACCAGCTGCTCTGAGGGAAAAAGATGGGACTTTCTGCTTCTGTAAAGATTCAGAATCAATTTGATGGCAGTGAGTTTGAGGGGCTTTGTCTTTGTTTTTCAGTACTGTAGACAGAACATTAAATAGGATCTGCCCAAGTTCAAAACCACAGTCCCATCCTCAATCAGCTGCCCCCTAGTTTTCAAAGGCATAGTTGCTCTTCTCCTTTCATCATCAGGAACCAAGAAGCTGACATTGAAATAGGTCCTCTTCCTTCCTTCTCTCTCTGATTCTACTTGGGTCTGTGGGTTTGTCTGTTCGAGATCTCACATCTGTGGGATTGCAAAATATTTACTCTTTTATGTCTGACTTATGTTAATATAATGTTTTCAAGGTCCATCCATGTCCCTCTCTCCCTTCTCTCATTGAGTGCCTAGCGTGCATCACAGCTGGTGATACAGAGACAAGGAAGCCCTTGAGCCTGACCCTCACCTTATAGCGCTTGTTAAAATCCGAGTGGGCTGGGACATTTCTAGTAGGTGGGCAGAGCTCACGCACAAACACTAGCTGCTCCCTGCCCCTCTGGTTCCCAGAGGCTTGATGCTGGTATTGGAGCCTTCGTTAATGGGAACTCACTTGCCTTCTGCCTCAGGTGGACAAGGTGGAGAAGTTCAAGAAATCTCAGAGTACCAAGGACAGCCTGCATGCCAAGTACAACACAGCTACCTGCAGCACTGTGGTGGGCGATGACCAGTGGGGTCACCTCCAGGTCGACGCCACGTCCCTCTTCCTCCTCTTCCTAGCTCAGATGACAGCCTCAGGTGAGTAATCCTTTGTGCAGGGCAGGACAATCCAGAACAGAGCTTGGGTGCATATCGAATAGTGTTCATTTTTATTTTTTTAAAAACATTTTGTGAACTATTCTATGCCAATAGACCTTGGTGAAACTATGGTCCTGATCCCCAGGCCCAGTGAGTCATTCCTTCAAGGAGTGCATGACTCAGTGTATAAAACCAGTTGTTTACAGAAAACAGAAGCCAGCTCCTTTATCCTAGAGCTGGTATTTGGCTCTCTGACAGTGTGTGCCAAAGACACTTGCGGGTCAAGGGCTGTTGCGACAGCTCTGCCAGCTGCTCTCTGCTGATCCCACCCTTATGGGGCCTCTCACCGAGTTACTGGAGCCACCTCAGCGAAACGTCGCACCTTCTCCACTGCAGCAGCCCCTCTCCTCAGCGCTTCTCCTCACTCTCCGGGCCACCTTCCTCTGGACAGGCCCTGTCTACCCACATTACCTTCAAACAACGTCATTTCCAGAGCTTGGCTGTGCGGTCATAGTGGTCTGGCCAGCCTGTCATGCCTGGGCTGTGAGTTGGCTGGCAACTTCCAGACCATCTGTGTTGTTCCCGTAGAAGCCACAGCTGCTAGCTTTGATGGCAGCCTGGCTAGCAGGTCATATAACCACCAGGCTGTGGCCCTTTGTCACACATCAAGACACAGTTGGCTATGAATATTCCTATGAAGGGCGGTCACCTCACTGCTGCGTCCAAGTTCTTCGCACCTCTGCAGTAACTGACCTGCTGCTCCTGAGTTCCAGGTTCCCATTGATTTCAGACTCTAAGACTATCATAAATCCCCAAGTCACCTCATTATGGCTAGATGAATAAACTGGGTTTATAAAAATCCCCTTTGGTTAAGAAAGTTATGAGCTTTCTATAGACCTTTTAGAAAATAGAAAAGAGAAAAAAAAAAGTCCCACTGCCAATTTTCATTTGAATGTTGTTCCTTCAAGTCTTTTTTTTGGTAGCATTTTTATTTATATATTTAAAGCCATCTTGTTTCCATAAGCCTAGTCTGCCTAAGACATAGCATATTATAATGTAGGCATTTCCTCTTTGACCTTGCAAAGCTCTTCATAAACATAATGTTAATGACTATCAATGAATCTCACTATAACTCATTCAGGTATTCCTTTATTCCTATGGATTTACTTTCCTGATGTTATAACTGCTGTTGCGATACCAACATTGATCAATTCTGCTTAATTTCTTCTGATACACTTGACTCAAAGACTATTTGTACATGATGCCAAATTGTCTTAATCTTTTACTAATTAGACTCCCCTTCCAAAAACCCAAACCAAACACTCTGCTATATAGTCCATTCCAATAGGATAGCTCAGTGGTTATGCGCTGGCCTGCTAACCTGCAAATCAGCACTTTGAAACGACCAGCTGCTCTGTGGAAGGAAGACGAGGCTTTCTACTCCTGTAAAGAGTTATTGTCTCAGAAACTGACAGGGGCAGTTTTATCCTGCCCCATAGAGTTGCTGTGACAAAACACCCCTTAGCAATGTTAAGGTGCATGCTTTACTAGATTCATACTTTTAAAATATGCCACAACTACCTGTACCTTGAAGGACACCGGCACAAAGCCAGCTCTTGATGTAGATGTGACTCCTGGGCACGTTCTGGGAAGGGGGCTTCTTAGAGGGGAGTTGAGCTGTCTTCTAGAGGTGGGAGCTATCCTTTCTCAGCCATCAGGAACAGCACCCACTCTCTGACTTGCTGAAGGATAGCGTCAATAGACTTTCTCTGAGCAGACCCAACAGGCTCCCCACTTCCTTTGTCAGCCAGTATCTACTCCCGTGCACTAACAAAAACAGTTACTCCTCTCTCCTTCTCTTCTCTCCTTTCTCTCCCCTCTCTTGTTCCTTTTCCTTCCGAGATTGAACCATTATGACCTATTTCAGACTTAATGTTTGACGCCTCAGTAGGGAAAGTGAAATGAGGATCAAAGCATTCCAAGTGTGAGATGCGGACTCTGCCTCATCCTCACTGTATGTGTTTCTTTCCCAGGCTTACGCATTATTTTCACCCTGGATGAGGTGGCCTTCATACAGAATCTGGTGTTTTACATCGAAGCTGCCTATAAAGTTGCTGTAAGTTGTTCCCACCGTGCATCTCCATCCTGGCCTTCCTTGCAAGCAGCTTCAAGTGCTTTTGTTCCTTTAAGTGGAAATCATGATCTTAAAAAAACAAAAGCACTAAGGACACATAGAGCGGGGGCTTCCAAAAGTTTGTAGAAAAATGGAGTTCAAAGAAAATGGAATTTCCACAAACTTCTGGACATCCCTAGTATACCAAGTCCGCTGTGTGGACGGTTCAAAGCCAGTGCCTCCCCAGCGGCTTGCGCACACCATGGCAGAGCAGTGTTCTCGCAATCCCTTTCAACTTTGGCTCCAGTTACTCGCTGAGCTTCTCTCCCTCCGCCCCAGCAGGGCTTAAATGGTTCAATTGGCTTCAACTACATATAACCCCATTGCTGGAGTTTCTTTACTCCATCTTACAATTTGATATACATTTAAAGGGATTCGCTAAATAGAGGGGCAGCTATTTCATTTTAAGATAAATGAAAGATCATTTCCTACAAGTCTGGAGATCCATACCAATTAATAACTTTCTGGAGAAAGAAATTTGAGTTTGTTTTTTTTTGCATGGCTTTTGTTCCACCGAAGTTTTATTTCCCAAATTCTGCCCAGAGGTCAAATCAACTGAAGTTGATGAGACAAAACCATGGATTTGGGGGCCTTTGAGATGAGGCCACCAGTTTCACATCAGGGAGTTGTTTGTTTTTCCCACCCCTCATTCCTCACCTGCCTTTTTCATCCACTCTGATTACTGCCTTCCTCTCCCCCAGGATTATGGAATGTGGGAACGTGGCGATAAGACGAACCAGGGCATACCGGAATTGAATGCAAGCTCTGTGGGCATGGCCAAGGTGACAGCCACCCGTGTGTTCTTTGGGGGTTGCTTTTTTACTGCGTTGCTGTGAGTCGCTTGATGAGCACTCTGGATTTAATCTGACTAGAAGTTTTCAAGGGAGCCCTGCTGGCATAGTGGGTTACGTACACATTGGGCTTTGTTACGAAACCACCAGCCTCTCAAGGGAAAAAGATGAGGCTTTCTACCCCCGTCAAGAGTGACAGTCTCATAAGCCCACAGGGGCAGTTCTGCTCTGCCCTATAGAGTCGCCATGACTCAGCTTACTCGACGGCAGTGAGTTTTGAGTTTGAGCACATTTTTCAAAAGTGAGCTGCAAGTGAGCACCTGCTGAGACTCATAGGTAAAACGACCCCAGCTGAAATCGCCCCGGCTAACCATTGCTCTCATCCGAGGGTCATGGAGGTTCTCCCCATTGTTTTAGACGCGGGATGTCTTATCGGTTATGTCTGGGTCCTAAATGGGGCGGAAGACTAGGCCCACTTGGTAGTTTGGGGCGGGCAAGTAACGTAAATGTGTGAAGCCTGCAGATCTATACAATACTGGGGACCGTGGAACTTCCTGTGAAAGTATTCCAATGTTTAAAAGACTCTCCGCCCAAACAAAACTCACCTGTGGGGCTGATGGAGCCTGAGAGCCCAGGCTGGGCTGTCCTGCTGTCCTCCCTCCCTCCTCCCTTCCTCCTCAAGGTTGACATCTATTTTAGGACAGAGTAAGGGCCACAGAGCTAGAATCTTTAAAAGACACACACACACACACACACACACACACACACGACCTGTAAATGTGCTGTATTTAGGGAAACTGACTGCAAACATCCTTATTGCTGACAGAATGAACTTTCTGAAGCACCAGATATGCGACTGTGAGGCTTGAATGGCTACAATAGGGGAAAGAACAGCTGACCCCGACCTTAGCCACATGCACATATGGTGCTGTGAACTTGTTCCTATTTCATTCTTTGGTCAAATAGACATTCTGTTGTGGGAAATGGTTTTCTATTTCTCTGCTTTGTTCCTGCAGTGAGCAGCAGCCTTCAGCACTGCTTCCTAGCCACTGCAAACAGTATTTCTTAATGAAGGCGTGCAGACGTGGGAGGGCATATGCACTGGAAAGGAAAAGTAACTTGTACCTGTGCTTGTAGGCAGCGCTTGAGGCAATTGATGAACTGGACCTTTTTGGAGCTCACGGAGGACGCAAGTCAGTGATCCATGTCCTGCCAGATGAGGTTGAGCACTGCCAGGTAAAAGATGTTTTAGTCCAGCCATAACCCATTACCCTAGAGTCGATTCCAATGCATAGTGACCCTGTAGCACAGAGGAGAACTGCTCCATTAAGGTTTCCTAGGCTGTAAGCTCTGTGGAAGCCGTTCATCCAGCTCTCGCCCATGCAGCAACAATGGGAGGGCTCAACCCACCACCAGCCTTTCAGTCAGCAGCTGAGAGCTTACTCCCTACACCACCAGGGCTCCCTGTTCCAGAGACGAGAGAAGTGGCCTCATCCAGTCATCCTAGATCCGATCCCCCGCCTGTCTACCTTGATGGCACATGGCTTCTTTAAGCCTCAGTTTCCTCATCCATAAGATGGACAGACACTGGTTCCCTTGGCTATAGGGCCAGTGGGGAGGGGAGAGGGTGAAACGGGTTGGAGAGATGAGATGGGTGAGAGAAATGGCAAATTAATAGCGCTTCTATGAAATGCAGACAAGAGAATAGAATGATTTGGTCCAGATTGGGGGGGGGGGCGACTCTATTAAGCACTCACCAATTGCGTAATTTATCACTGTGCCAGGACTGTGCTAGACCCAAAGAGGTCAAATACATCAAAAGCTTGCAACAGAAAACACTTGCCGTGAATGTGCATGCCTGTCTCCAGAAAGAAAAGGCCTAGAAAAGAGTGAGAAGCAAAGACGTGGGCTTGGGGGCCAGTGAACTGCAGAAAAAGCAATCTTAATCATGCCACTTTCTCCATCCCCCCTAGCCCACTTAATCTGGTCCTTCTTGACCATGTAGTTAAATAGAGTCAGGCGGTGTGTGTGTTCATAGATGTGCTGTCTAGTGGAAGTTGCATGAACTCTGTAGCCAGTGGACCTGGGTATTTCCTGGTGTCTCTGTCCGCCAGCCTGCCAATAGGTAGTCCTGGGGGAGGTCCCTAAAGTCCTTTCCTAAAGGCCACCGTCTGTGGCGGGCCTGGAAGGAAAGGAGAAGATGGAGTTCCCAGCACAGGGAACTCCCTGATCCCTTACTTCTCCCCAAGAAGCGGGAGTCATTGGCCCATCAGGCAAGGCCTTGCAGAGCTTTGTGGTTAAGACCAAGCTCTGCTTCCAATTGGCAGCTGCGTCTGACTGAGTCCTGGGCTCTGGGTTCTGTATCTCACTGTCCATGCCACCGGTGAAAGACACCTCTGGTTTCCTTTCAGTCCATCCTCTTCTCCATGCTGCCAAGAGCCTCGACGTCGAAAGAGATTGATGCGGGCCTGCTTTCCATTATTTCTTTCCCAGCCTTCGCAGTGGAAGATGTCAACCTAGTGAATGTGACCAAAAATGAAATTATCACCAAGCTCCAGGTAAGTGCCTGTCATGCCGGCACCTTTTTTGCCCATGCTAAGTGCTGCTTGCCCAGGGTGACATGCAGCCTGGTGCCTGGTCTTGCTTCTCCATTTCTCAGAGGTCTCCAAGTGGGGAAGTGACTTGAGTCTGTTCCTAACTCGCTGCGAGCAAACTTCCGTGAGCACTATTGACCCTTATTTCTCACTCAAACATAAGAACAATCGGGAGGAGGGGACAGGATTTGGTAGTATTTCGTTCTGTTGTCCATAAAAACATTATGAGTCGGAACTGACTCAGTGGCCCCTCACGACCACCACCACCACCACCACCAATGGGGCAGAGCTGCTTAACCTTTTAGAGGTCACAGACACACACCCCTTTAAGAAATTTTTTTTTAATCATTTTATTGGGGCTCATACAATTCATCACAACCCAGACATACATCAATTGTGTAAATCATACATACATTTGTTGCCCTCATTCTCAAAATTCGCTTTCCTCTTGGGTTCCTGGAATTAGCTCATTTTCCTTTTTCCCCCTCCCCCTCCCTCCCCACTCCAGCCCTCCCTCATGACTCTTAATAATTTATAAATTATGATTATATCTTACACTGCCCAGCATCTCCCTTCACCCACCCTTCTGTTGCCCATCCCCCAGAGAGGAGGTTATATGTAGATCCTTGTGATCGATTCCCCCTTTCTAAGCCCCCTTCCCTCCCGGTATTGCCACTGTCACCGCTGGTCCTGAGGGGTTCATCTGTCCTAGATTCCCTGTGTTTCCAGTTCCCATCTGTACCGCTATGCATCCTCTGGTTTAATCAGGTTTTCAAGGTAGAATTGGGATCATGGTAGTTGTGGGGAGGAAGCGTTTAAGAACTAGAGGAAAGTTGTGAGTTTCATTGTTGCTATACTGCACCCTGAGTGACTCATCTCCTCCCCACTACCCCTTTGCAAGATATGTCCAGTTGTCCACAGATGAGCATTGGGTCCCCCCATCACACGCCACCCTCATTCATGATGATATGATTTTTTTTCTCCCCCGTCTTTGGTGCTTGTAGCCTGGTCCCTTCAGCCCTTCATGATCACACATGTTGGTGTGCTGCTTCCGTGTGGGCTTTATGGCTTCTGGGCTAGATGGCTGCTTGTTTATTTTCAAGCCTTTAAGTCCCCAGGCGCTATAGGTCTCGATTGCTGGGCACCATCAGCCTTCGTCACCACATTTACTTATGCACACATTCGTCTTCAGCGTTTATGTGGGGAAGGTGGTCACACAATGATGGTTTTTGTTCTTTGGTGTTTGCTACCTGATTCCTTCAACACTTCGTGTTCACACAGGCTTGTGTGCTGCTTTCTCTCTGGGCTTTGTTGTTTCTGAGCTAGATGGCCACTTGTTTGCCGAGACTTTCTTGGAAGCAATGGAATTGATGACAGAAAACACACACCGATAGTCTCAAACTTTCTACCTAACGGAGGGGGGCTTGGGGGTACCAGAGTGAAATGAAGGTTAACAACTCTGCCCTGCAATGAAATGTAGTAACTGACATAAGCCCAATCTCAGCATGTTATTTATTTATTTATTTATTTTTAATCATTTTATTAGGGGCTCATACAACTCTTATCACAATCCATACACACATCAATTTTGTAAAGCGCATTTGTACATTCATTGCCCTCATCATTCTCAAAACATTTCCTCTCCACTTAAACCCCCGGCATTAGGTCCTCATTTTTCCCCTCCCTACCTGCTCCCCCCTCCCTCATGAGCCCTTGATAATTTATAAATTGTTATTTTGTCATATCTTGCCCTGTCCGACGTCTCCCTTCACCCACTTTTCTGTTGTCTGTCCCCCAGGGAGGAGGTCACATATAGTTCCTTGTAATCGGTTCCCTTTTTCCTACCCACTCTCTCTCTACCCTCCCTGTTTCGCCACTCACATCACTGGTCCTGTAGGGCTGAGCATGTTATTAAAAACTCCAGTCAACTGAAAATACAGGTCAAAATGAACAAAGACTGTAGGTTTCCTCAGCTGAAGTTTGATTCTGTGAAAGTCGCTTTCACACCTGAGGACCAAAGGGTTAAAGGATCACCAGTCACACCCCAAGAAAAAGGCAGAAGTTCCAATCAGAAGTCTACAGAGAAAAAAGACAAAAGAAACTTCAGTAGCAAGTTAGTGCAGGCAGGGAGTTAATACCAGGAGCAAAGCCTTTCCCAGCCGAGCCTCCTGCTACTAGGAGCGCTGTTGCCCCTACCACCACCACCACAGCCCTGTCAGCTGCAGCAGCCTCAACACACTAAAGAAACTGGAGAGTGGACCCCTAAAGCTGTGAAGCCAGCTGCGACCCAGGGCTTAAGGGTCAGTTTAAGAAACTGCTACCTCTATTCATTCGTAACGTTCAGTAAAACTGAAGAGAAACATGGGGAGCCTTTGTCTGGGAAACTGGCAGAGAAGATTTTCCTTCTCTCCCTGTCAAGTCCCAACAGGGTGCTGCTGACTGGCACAGAGACTCCGTTACATCCTGGGCCTGATGTCAGAGGCCCGGGAAGGTCTAAGAAAGCCAATCCTCGTATTAGCCTTGGTGGTTTCTGCCTGAGTTTCTCCATTGTGCTCACAGCCCTAAGGCTAATGGACTGTACTGATCAAATCTGAATTTACTGTGCTTAGGCTTGAAAAGAACTCTTTGTTCTGATTGCAAAACACCACAAAGAAAAAAAACATCCAGTACAAATTTTATTATGAAAGAGGAAAGAGGGCGGAGGGCTGACTAGCATTAAAATAAAAATGCTGCTGCTTCCTCTGATGCGTAATGAATCCATTTTCTTCCTTTATCATCAGGGCCGTTTTGGATGCTGCCGTTTCCTTCGAGATGGTTATAAAACCCCGAGAGAGGTTGTATTCAAAAATTGCTTCTTATGATCCATTGACTGCTTCATACCTACATTGCCACGATTTTGGTCTCCCTTTATTGATGATAGCGATGTGCTGGGGTATTAGAAAGGGGTGCATTAATCTTGGAGTCAGCAAGCCTGGAGTTAGGCAGTAAAATACGCGTGACAAGTGAGCTTGTCAGAAGGACAGGGAGCTAGGAGTAGACAAGAGTAATCAGTTCTTTGCCATCATGACCAGTATAATGAGATCAGTAAAGCCGACTGCCCAACACTCTGGGAGGCAAATTCCTACTTATGGGTCAGAGACACAGGACGCCTTAATTTAACAAGCTACCAAGGAGTCATGTATATTCCAGATTAACCTTGCTGAAATATATCTGTGGAAAACTGCCAATCTAATGTCTCCCCATTATAGTAAAAATAAATAAACCCACTGCCATCTTGTCAATTCCAGCACATAGGTACCCTATATAGGGAAACGGGAGCAGACTGCCTCCTCTTTCTCCTGCAGGGTGCCTGGTGGATCTGAACCATCTGCCTTGTGATTAGCTGCGCAATGCCTAAGCCATAGTAGAATCCTCCTAATCATGACCGATTTCAAGACTGCCTTGGAGTAGATGAGGCAGAGAGAGCCAGTTGGGGTACTGTGGTGTTGTGGATGCAGTCTGCTACTGCCTTGTAGAGCATGTATGTTTGATTTGATTCCAGGACCCAACTCGATTGCATTATGATCCTGCAGAACTCAAGCTCTTTGAAAACATCGAATGTGAGTGGCCTGTGTTCTGGACATATTTCATAATTGATGGAGTCTTCAATGGGGATGCCGTTCAGGTGAGGAAACGGTGGATGTTGTGTTGATAATTAGCATGTTCATTCTACTGGTGTATTAATTATTATTAAAACATAGATTTTTTCAAAACTGCGTGTAGGCCTTTGATTCTGTTACCATTTAACAAACTATCCTCAAACTTAAGCAACAACTATTCTACTCATTTGCTCATGATTCTGCAATTTGGGCTCGGCTTTTGTCAACTCGGGTGATGGCTCTTTGGAGCTGGGGGATCCCCTTCCAAGATGGCCTTGCTTACATGGCTGGCCAGTTGGTGTTAACTGTTGACTGGAAGCTCAGCTGGGAAGTTGAATGGGGCTTTGGTTGTTTTCTCTTATAGCCACTCCACATGGCTCTCTCTGGCTTCTTACAGCATGGCTGTCCCTGGCAGTTAGCTGTTTACATGGCCCATTTCTCTCCCCAGAGCACAAAGATACAAAGTGCCAAGTGCTCTTAAGGCTTGGGCCCAGACCAAGAAGACTCATTTAGTTCCTATTCTGTTGTTTAAAGCAAGTCACTGAGTCATACCATATTCAAGGAGAGGGAGTATACAAGGGCAGTGGTGCATTGAGGACCACCAAAGAATGGCTGCTGCTTTTCTGATCAGCCAGTGGATTTTGCTGTCCTTAAGAAACAAAACCCCAAACCCACTGCCATCAAGTCAATTCTGACTCATAGCAATCTAATACAGGCTGTAAAGGTCCAAGGCTGTAATCATTATGAGAACAGATAGTCTTGTGTTTCTTACTCAGAGTGGCTGGTGGGTTTGAACCACCAACCTTAGTTAGCAGTTAGCAGTCTACCACTTACCCAACTCTAGTTTATAGGTGCACGTGGCTAACATCTTATGTAATGTAGTGACCTCCTAACTGGTCTAGCTTCTGGCTTTGTTCCCCACTGCTTCCATTCTTGACACCTAGGCTACAGTGATGTGATCAAAAGGCAAATTTCCTTGCTTAAAAGTCTTGAATTGGCTTCCTGGTTGCTATGGGGATGGACTCCTCTTTGTTTTCTAGTTGGTTTTCACCACGTTCTTACCATGTCTTCCTTGAGTCCTGTATTCCAAGCACACTCAATTCTTTCATTTTTTGACCAGACCGACACCTTTCTCTCTCTCTCCCTCTCCCTCCCCCTCCCTCCCCCTCCCCCTCCTCAAATGCCTAGAACATTCATTCCAACTCCAACCACCCCTCTCTTCTTCACTTGGTTCATTGTAAATGCTGCTGCTTTTAAGAGACCGCCTCTTTGCCTCAAAGCTGGACCTGGTGCTCCTTTTAGATGCTCCCATAGCATCCCTAATAGCACAAAACCTACTGCCTTTCATTTCCCACCTACCTGGCAAAGGAACCCAGGAAGTGTACAATCTACTGGATGAGACGAAGTTAAGAAAAGTTAGTTCAGAGTGAAATGTTTAGCTTATGGATTAAAAAAGGCTCTGGAAAGAAAGCTGATGCATGATATAGACCTGAGTAATCTGGGGATTCTGAGGAAGAAACGGCTCTTGGATGACAGAACCTTGTGTCCCTGTCCCCAACAGCCTGGCAGGCAGGGCTGAGCTTAAACACACCCACCCAGGAAATGGGCACTTGAATGAGTTTAGCTCTCAAGAATGCTCACTGTCCTCATGAGTTTGTCTTCCTGCATTTTGAGCTGAAGATATTTGTGCAGTCTTCGTGCCAGCTCCCAGTTCTAATTTATTTGTTGTCAAATGCTGCACTGCAGTTTGGTTCCAGCATTAACAAGGTCTCTTTCATTCCCCATTGTGTGGGGCGATTTCCCAGGTCCAAGAGTACCGAGAGGCCCTGGAAGGAATATTAATCAGAGGCACGAATGGGATTCACCTGTTGCCAGAACTGTATGCCATCCCACCGGATAAGGTAAACCCCATGGCCCAGAGCCCTTTGCACTACTTTCCAGGACGAAAGCAGTTAGTGATTAGCCACTTGGTATTTTTCTCCACCTTTTAGGCCTAACTCACACTTTCCCCAAGGACAGGTGTGTTGGACTTTGGAAAAATACCTGGGGCATGCTGGAACATGGGTTATCAGCTGAGGCTCTGCAGTGGCTGGACCACCCTGAGAGCACAGAGCACGGCTGTGTACCCTGTTCTGACACCCCTCCACTGCCACGAATTCAATTCCTATGCATGGTAACTCCATAGAACTGCCCCATAGAGTTTCCAATGCTGCCACTGAAGCAGACAGCCTCATCTTTCTCATGGAGAGCAGTTGGTGGGTTTGAACCAGTTGCCTTTTGGTTAGTAGCCAGATGCTTAACCCACACTGCTACCAGGGCTCTTTGGTTCTACACAGGGAGAGAAAATGATTCCCTGAGATTGTTTCATAGTACCCAGCTTCCTAAATTGGATCCCAGGGGACAAATATCTTCATGGGGAAAAGATCTCCCTGTGACTGCCTAATGCTTCCAAGACATGCACACCACAAGGATGCTGCCTCCTCAGGTGGTCCGAGCTCTTCGCAATGTCCTTGTTGCGTTTATGGGGAGGCAAAGGCCCATCAGAGAGCAGCGTCATCTCCATCATCGAGAAGCTCCAGGACCCCCTCGTCCCCACAGCCCTACACTGCTGCTTAATGACAGGACCTCTCCAGGAGAACATCCATGCCATGGGCGCTGTCACGGGGCTTCCACAAGCAGGGCCAAGGGGGGGCATCCCTTTCCTTCTGCAGGGAACGGACATGATAAGTGAGGCTGGTGGTACCTCTGCATTGTTGTTGGCTTTAGTTCACATAGAAGGAATGGTGATGTGCTAGAAAATTGACCCAGTTAATCCAATGAGAATGTCGAAGAAAGGAGTTTAATTAGAGTGAGAAGTAGAATTTTCTGCTACTAAAAACTAAGCCAAACTCACTGCCATGGTATCGATTCTGACTTATCATGACCCTATAGGATAGGGTAGAACTGCCTCTGTGTTTTGAAGACTGTCAATGCTATAGGAGTAGAAAGCCTCATCTTTCTCCTGGCAGAGCAGCCCAGCACTTAACAACTATCCCACCAAAGCTCTCCTGCTGCTAGGAACCTTCAAAATGCTCTGGTGGCGCTGTCGTCACACGCTTAAGCATGAACTGAAGGATCATTTCTTTGAACCCGCCAGCCACTCTGTAGGAAAAAGCAATGGCAGTCTCACAGCTGGGGAAACTCTATGGGGCAGTTCTGTTCAGTTCTACAGGGTCCCTATGGATCAGAATCAACTCCACAGCAACTTTTGCTGTGTGGTTTTTAAACCAAAGTTATTTAGGAGTATTTCATTCTTTTGAAGGCACCCTCGTGGTGTCGCGGGTTAGGCGTTGGGCTGCTAACTAAAAAGTCTGCAGTTCAAACCCACCAACTGCTCCTGGGGAGAGAAAGACGAGGCTGGCTGCTCCCAGAAAGATCCGCATTCTCAGAAACCCTAGGGAGCAGCTCAACTCTCTGCAACAGGGTTGTTCTGAGTAGGAATCAATTTGGTGGCCATGGCTGGGGTGGCTCTTCAGAGCTTAGAGCTGGACGCCTGGCCTGCTGTCACTCCCAGACTCCCTAGGTTGCCTTGGAGGCCACTGCATATTCTGGGTGGTCTCACACAGCCCCACCAGCCCTGGACCCCTAGCCCTGGGCTCGGGAAGCTTCAGGTCACCCTCACCCGAGCAGGCACAGATGAGCTTGCCTGTCCCACCCCTCTCAGGACTGCATTCGGTTCTAGGGTCAAGAGTTAAGAAATGGTGTTCATCAGTTATGGAACAGCACAGGCCGCGGAGCCATGGGGATTGACTTTTCTCTAAAGCCCATAAGCTTCGATTTCCTTTCCTCTATATGATGTGTACGTGCTGATGTGAGAGCTGGCTGGGGGCTAGGCGGTTCATGTCTCCTCTCTAGCTGCTCATTGTCTGGAACTGAGTGATCAGAGGTGGCTTGGAAGCTAGAAGCAGAGAAAATCAGAATAGATGGCATTGGGAACATTTCACTGGTTTCGTGGGATAATAGCCATCCCTGTTCTACTAAAAGGTTCCTTTTAATGATCAGAGTAAGTGCTAGGTGTCATAAGCTGTATTTTTTTTTCAGAGAGGCAAGTCTGGCTGCACATATGAAAAAAAAATACTATGCAATTTGCTCTCTCGAGCTCCATTCAAGGAGCCCTGGTCACGTAGTGGTTACGTATTAGGCTGCCAATCTGCCAGGTCAGCAGTTCAAAACCACCAGGCAGTCTGAGGGAGAGAGGCGGGCTTTCTACTCCTGTAAAGAGTTACAGACTCAAAAACTCACAGGGGCAGCAAGTAACTGAGCTCCATTCTGCCCTCCAAGTCTCTCTTGGCTGCTGCCGCACCCTCCTGGTCCAGGCAGCATGCTCATAATTGTGTGTCAGGCTCCGGATTAATGCACTCTGATGTGCAGCTCATTTTGTGTTAGCTGCTTCCAGATGACAGCTGAGAGGTTCCTGCATCATACATCAGAAGCTTCAGTCATGTCCCCACCCTACACAGGCCTCTCTGCCACCCTGCCTGAGACTAAGGAAATGTGTCCACCAGAGCTGATGGGGCCACAGAGCTGACCTCCATGCCATCCCATCTTGGTCTCGACCGCCGGCCATCTGGCAGGGAAGAGATGGGGACAGAGCAGTTATTCTAAGCAGGAGGGGTAGGCATGTGGCATGGTGGTGGGTAAAGTGCCAAGCTCCTGTTCTTCACCTCTAGTGCCTATCATTCTAGAGTTCTTAACACTACACATCTTCCTGGTACCTCAACAACACTGTCAAAGCAAGCCTGGAACCTCCCCACCCCACCAGGGCAACAGACCATCACTGGAGCAGTGCCTCCCACAGTCTTATTCCGTTGGGCTTTCTGAATGTTTACTCTAACTACACGCTTTGAAAAGTCTACTCCATTTACTAATAAGACCACTGCTCCACAAGCAGAAACTGAGCCCCATTCAGCATCCACTTTTCCTCAGTGGAGATTAAGATCAAAAGATTAACAACAGCTGGCCAGTTTTAACCAAAAGACTGGAAGTTCAAGTCCACCCTGAGGCCTAGCCATCAAAAGCCCTGAATCAGAGTCCCTTTGAAGGCACGGGCCATAAAAAGCCACAGGCCATCGTGGGTTTCAGAAGAGGGGAGGTCACAGAGTAGCCAACACTGTCCCTTAGAAAACTGTTGGCTGTTTTGATGGGACATAATCTTCCCATTGCTTCAGCTTCTCGAGAACCTGATGGAGAGCCCCTGGTGGCATAGTGGTTCCATGCTGGTCTACTAACTGCAAGGTCAGCAGTTTGAAACCACCAGCAACTCTGCAGTAGAACGATGAGGCCTTCTACTCCCATAGAGAGTAACACCTCCGAAACCCACAGAGGCAGTCCTTCTGTCTTACAGGGTTGCTATGAATCAGAATCCACTCGATAGCAGTGAGTTTGGTTTTTAACAGTTTTATTGGCACTTCATCCGCATATCATACAAGTCAGTTGTTCAGTCATGTCAAGAAGAGTTGTACAATCATAAACCACAATCCATTTTAGAACATTTTCTTCCTTGTACTCATTGTGATTCGTGTAATCATTTTTTAATTGTGGCAAAAATATACACAACAAAACATTCTCTAATTCAACAACTTGTATATGTATAATTCAGAGCCATTCATTATACTCTTCATGTTGTATAACCATTATTGATATCCTTTTCCAAATTATTCCACTACCATCAACATAAACTCAATGCCATCTAAGCAAAAACTTCCTTTATCTGTGGTAACTATAGGTCAAATTTGGTTTTTTAATGGTGTCCGGTATAGTACTTCAATTCCATTTCCTCGGTAAAATAGTGACATCTAGTGATAATTCTCCTCAGAGGCAAGCACAAGTTCATAAACCCCAGGCGATGGACAACTTCACACCATCCAGTGATGCCCTGGTGTGACATTTGTTGTTGTTAGGTGTCATCTAGTGGCATTAGGCCTAGGCTTTATATCATGTGAGCCCAGTTGGCATAGTGGTTCCATGTGGGGCTGCTAACCTCAAGGTTGGTAGTTCAAAACCCTCAGCAGCTCTGTGGGAGAAAGATGAGGCTTTCTACTTCTGGAAAGAGAGTCTGGGAAACCCACAGGGACAGGTTTACCCTGCCCTATAGTGTATCCATGAATCAGAATCAACTCAATGGTAGTAAGTTTGGAGTTAGTATATGGGAAGCCATAGATTCTTTATCCAGAACTGTGCACTATAGAGGCAGACCTCTGTCATCGCTTCTTGCCATGAATCTCTTGTGGGAATGGCACTGGCACAGAGCCAGGCCCATTCCAGCGCTGTCCCCACTGCCTATAGCAGTGTGGTTCCTGTGCCTAGCTCTTAGCCTTCCAGGCTGGCCTCCCAGGACCTCTCACAGAACTGGTCTAGGCGGCTGGAAGTGGGAGAGGACACGTTTGTTAGCCTGATGACAGGCGTTCGGCCTTTTCGTTCAGTGATGTCATGTCCTCTTTACCAGGTCGACGAGGAGTATAAGAACCCTCACACGGTGGACAGAGTGCCTCTAGGGAAGGTGCCCCATCTGTGGGGCCAGTCCTTGTACATCCTCGGCTCACTGCTGGCAGAGGTAAGGAGGCTGCTCGGAAGGACAAGGCGGCTGGCATGCACAGGGCCCTCTGCAGGTGTCTTTTGCATTATCTTACCTTTAAAGTCCACTGGGCTACACCACCCCAGCTCTGACGCCATGGCCAAGGCACTCTCTGCCTTCCTGCCAGTGCTCCTCCTGGCTTGTTACTGGAGCCCCTCTGAGCTGATGGCCAGCAGGCTCCTGGAGGCGTCTTCAGCAAGTCTGTAGCAGATACAGGGTTTGGAAATGGCCTAGATCTGCTTCCAGCAGCCCTAACCCTGCCTTAGGCAGAGGGAATAGAAGGACTCCAAGATCCCATAGGTGAACAGGCAGCTGACAGGGTTTTCTGTGGTGAATTTTGTAATCCATAGTTCCCTCAAACCACCCACAGCACCTTACCCAGAACATCCGGTGCCACCAACTCCTTTTTGTTAAGCACTGACTTACTGCCCCCAGGCTTATGCTTTTGAAATGGCAGTGTTTGAACCAACTCAAACTTCAAGCTGTACTGTTAGGCCTTCACAAGGGACTTTCCCAGCTAAACACCCTAGGGGAGCTATGGCAGAAGAGCCTGGGGCAAGGAGCTGGGCGGGCACTCAGTAGGCATGCAGGCTCTGGAAAGGAGGCCAGAACAGCACTGGGGCAGAAGGCCGCCCTAAAATTCTCACAGTGGAGAGGGGTCCTGCTGTGCTGTGATGGAGCACTCCTTCCATGAGTCTAGCTTGGCTCCCTGGGCGTGTCCTTAGGGGTAGGACAAGTAAGGCAAATGTGTATATATTGCTTGGGAAAGCCAACCCTGCCTCTGACTAGTTCTAGGACCCGGGGCAGGTTGCTTAACTTCTCCGAGCCTCGGTTTCCTCATCTGTGAATGGAAAAGTTTGGCCTGGATCATCTCATAGCTTGCAACACTTGATTTCCTTCTGTATCAGCGAGATGGGAGACAAGAAACTCCACCCAGGTGTTTGGCCTCCCGCTCCAGTGTCAGGCCTTCACCTGGGCCCAGCATCTGACCCAATTCCTCCTCAGGACACCCTGAGCACCATGTTCCTTTCCCTTGGGTCTGGGCCCATTCATCGAAAGTGTGAGAGCCAATGAAAGGATCCACATGGCAAGCAGGCACATGGCAAGCAGGCACAACCTTGTGCCTCGAGATGGTCAGCCATGGGCCAAGCCCCTGCTCTGCTGCTGACCTTGGGCACCTGTGGAACACCACTGAAAGCAGTGCCCACCTCCCGAGGTGGCTCCCCACAGTCCCCAGTAGGCAGTTGGGGCTCCAGCAGTGGTAGGCACCATTGTTAGCACTCATATCAAGTGATGGGGTTGAGTGTCATCACTGAGCCTCCAGAGCTCCTTTCTGGAAGCGTTAGCATGTGCCGCCCGCAGTGGCAGCTGAGAACAGCCCCTGATGCTTCAACCTCGATAAGCAATTGACTTGGAAAAAATAGGAAGGGATGACACGTTACCCGGTGGTAACACTCCTTCCTCTCTTCACAGGGATTCCTGGCCACCGGGGAAATCGATCCCTTAAATCGAAGATTTTCCACTGCCATCAAGCCTGACGTTGTCGTGCAGGGTGTGTGAGCATATTTACTACTCATATTAACTTAGAAAAAGCCATGCTATTTTTCATTCAAATGGTTCCCTGATTGAATTTAAGAAAGCAGCAGAGACCGGTGCACGCTTTAGCATATAGCAGCTCTGTGCCATGCTGTCCATAACTCGGAGGCTCCCAAAGGCAATAATCTTCTTCCCAGCCACAAATTTGATTTCTACAAAGCAATTGTTTTCTAAGCCTTGATCCCATTTGGGGCACAAGTAATTCATTGAGCATCATTTTTCATACCGATTATACTTTGGAAAATAGAACCGGGTCCTGACAGACACGAGAAGGTCGAGTCACACCTTCTGTTCTGATCTCCAGGTCCCCGTTCTCACAGGCCCCCGCCACCCCCCTTCCTCTCCAACCAGCTCCTCCTGAGAGGGCCCAGAGCCAGCTGGGGCTCTGCGGGGCTCTCTGCTGAGTGCCTCATGGCCTTCCTAGGAAGGCACCACAAGGGCACTTGCTGGGAAGCCCTGAAACCTTTTCCTGCTTCTTCGAACTCCTGCACCCCACCTAATGTCACAGCACAGTACACACACACCTGCTCCCCACTAAACGAGACTGGTGGTTTCTGCAGAACAAAACCCATCTCCTTCTGGTAGATTGTATGTTTGGTTGTCGCTGTGCACTTAATGCATGAGAGCAATTATCAACCACATGAGCAATACTGACCTTTGGGGCCACTGCCTCACTGGGCCATACCTGCTCCTGATGCAACAAGGGACTCCAATGAGCGTCACCCAGTCAGTATTGTGCACCAGGCCTCATGAAGTCTACCGCTGTGTCTCGGCGTGCAGATGAAGGGAACCTTGTGATGGCGGCTCTCTTCCACTCTTCTTACAGGCTCAGGGGTGAACTCACTCACTCACGGCCCTGCAGACCCATTTCTGACTTCCACCACCCTTCTTGTCTCCAGTCTCTGTGTTGGCAGAAAACAATCACATCAAGGAGTTGCTGAGGAAGCATGGGATAAACATTCAGAGTATCGCTGACATCCATCCGATTCGCGTCCAGCCTGGCCGGATTCTGAGCCACATATACGCCAAGCTTGGT